TTTTTTTCAAATTTTTATGATATCTTCAAATTTATATTTTATTTAAAAATAAAATCATTATTGTTTTCTTTAAAACGCATAAAATCGTATTATAACATCGACAGAGACAAAGAATAAAATAGAATATTAAAATTGAGATGTGTCTCGCTGCATTGCGCGAGTACTTTTCTAGTCTTATTAAGCAAATTTAACAAAAGTATTAAAGTCTTAAAATACTAAATGACCAAGATACCATTTAGTCACTTTTTCACTCACTCCTCTCCTCACATACACTCACCCCCTCATATACTCTCACCCTCTCACAACCGATTTTTTTTAAATTATAATTTTAAATTTACATTTTATACCCTTATAATTAGTTGATTAATTTACTTTACGTCCTTTACTTTTAAATATTTCATTTTAAACTTTTATCAAATTAACATACATAATCGTATATCAATTAAAACATGTTTAAAAATACATTTTTATTTTAACAAGTTACACCATTATAATCGTCTCGTTAATACTTTCGAAATGAGTCCAATATTCAGGGCTGGCCCTGGCCACGTGCAGCCCGTGCGGCCGCACAGGGCATCAAAACCTAAAGGGGCATCAATTTGTCATTTATTACTAGTTTTGAGTTTAATAATTTGAGAATTGGACAACTGAGCTTTAATTATAAAAACATACCCAAAGCCTAGTGGTGATGAATATTGAATGCACATCGTAGGAAAAAGTTGGAAAGTTGGAAAAGTTTTTGTTTGTATAAAGTTGTCTGTATGAATTAATCTGTTTGTATAAGTTGGAAAAGTTTTTGTTTGAGAGAGTTTTTTCGCATATGTAAAAAGCGTTTTTTTAGTTGGAAAGGACATATTTGGAAAAAAAAAACTTGACTTTCTATATAAAGCTCCCCTAGAAGTTTACTAGATTAGTCACTTTCTATATCATTAAGCCACTACGAAACAGTCATGCATAGTTGAACGAATAAATTGTTAGTTTCATTAAACTTATTAAGCTACTAACAGATAAACCATTAGCCTTTAGTCGTTAGACCTGTAACTTTTGAGTTTTACCTTTTGCTTACTATGACGCTAATTTGGATGTGATTTACTATTTTAGTTAAAAACTAATTATAGTTTTCCTTGTCTTTTAAGTCTCATATATTGAAATAAAGTTTCTATTTTGCTAATTTTAATTTGGAAAAGGAAAAACTGGAAAAAAAGAAAGCATGATCTTAATCCAGAATTTATCCTTTTATATTTTGTATTCAGGATTTTGATTGTTTCCCCTCCCATTGTATTTTTTTATTATTAAAAAAATCAACATGAGAATGAGATACTTAGCTTGAATAGGTTCTAAACTCTTTAAAATCGCATGTTTCATTGACTTAAAAAATAGACTTAGGAGCATTTTTTATTATTTTCGCACAGGGCATCAAAAATCTTAGGATCGGCCCTGCCAATATTGAATAGTTTTTTTACTTAATTATATTATTATATATTATATATACTGTGAAAAAATATTTTTAATATTTACGATTTATACTTTTATAGTTATTTATTTATATATATACTATATATTTTAGGGTTAGGCTGTCTAAATTGCACTGTATAATATGTTCTTGGGTTTTTTTTTAAATATATATATATATATATATACATGTATTAATTCAACCTTAATCTGAGTTTATAGACAAGAAAGAGGGTAAGCAGTTGAAATTTCATTCTAAAACCCATATTTTTTGGTCTTTTCATGGCTTATGATCTCTCAAATTTGTAGTTTTCTTTATTAGTTTTGAGTGTTTATCTTAAAACTCAAGTTTCTTAGTTCTTTTCTCTTGGTGTAAATCGAACACATTTGTGGAGTTGTTTAAATATGTTGGATTTTAAACTTTGGTGTAAATCGAACACATTTGTGGAGTTGTTTAAATATGTTGGATTTTAAACTGTCATACAATTTTTTTTCATCGATAGTCTGTAATTGGAACCATAACTCGTATTTATTCAGATTGTATTAATATGTAAAGACTAAGTGTAACATATATCATCATTAAATCTTATCTTATAAAACCAATGAAACTTCAAAATCATTAAAATTCATGATTTCCGTCGAATTGCACGAGTACACAACTAA